GTGGGTGATACGACACCATCGACAGATCCGTACGTGGTCAGGAGATACTTCAGTGGATGGAGATTATTTACAGCTGTGTTTCCCAAAGGTCAAACCATCGCGTCCCAAGTCAGTAGACATTATTCGTAAACTAAACTGGGGTCGCGACCCAGTCTTTGGGAAACACTGACTGACAGTATTGCAGCACCACAGTGAGACTGTTTGTTTGTCCTCCAGGCCACCATGCTGACGGAGCGTTACAAACAGGGGAAACTTCACGCCTACAAGTTGATCTGCAGGATCATGAAGCGGCGACAGGACGTTTCTCCAAACACAGACTTCCTCACACACTTCTACAACATCATGCACCACGGCCTGATGCACCAGGACCAGGTGACGGGGCACAAACAACTGTGTATCACTCACTGTGAGTGTCGCTGGCTCACAGCGTGGTGTTGTCGTTCACAGGACATCGTCAACACCATCATCAAACACTGCAGTCCCAGGTTCTTCAGCATCGGCCTGCCTGGAGCCACCATGCTGATCCTGGACTTCATCATCGCGGCCTCCAGAGTCACCGGCTGCTCCTCGCTGAACGTCAGTCCCACGCTAACACGCGGCGCAGCTGAACGATCGGACCGCCACTCAGACGTCTCTCTTCTCATTTGTCCTTCCAGGCGCCCAGAGTGGAGGCTCAGATCTTACTGGGATCTCTGGTCTGCTTCCCAAACCTCTACGGGGAGCTCCCGGCCCTCCATCCCACCACGGCCGACGTGGTCTTAACCAAATTCCCCGATGTCAAGGTCAGTGGTGGCCCACATGGGATATTAGCATTAGCATTGGATAAACTGTAGTACTATAGGCACGACGGTGTTGTTTTAATGTAGGAGAACTGTCAAAAAAAAACAGCTTCATTTGGAAGAAATAAGAAATATATGTATGTATATGTGTATATATGTGTATGTTGTTGTTGTCGTTGATGTGGTTGTTGTTGTGGTTGTTGTGGTGGTGGTTGTTGTTGTTGTGGTTGTTGTGGTGGTGGTTGTTGTTGTGGTGGTGGTTGTTGTGGTTGTTGTTGTGGTTGTTGTTGTTGTGGTTGTTGTTGTTGTGGTTGTTGTTGTTGTGGTTGTTGTTGTTGTGGTTGTTGTTGTTGTGGTTGTTGTTGTTGTGGTTGTTGTTGTTGTGGTTGTTGTTGTGTCCTCACTGTTTTTAAACCAGACATAAACTGGTGTTGAATGTTAAAGGGATCATTAAGACTGAGTGGACAAACAGGACCAGAGAGTGTGTGACCATGTCTCTGGACTGTGTGTGTGTGTGTGTGTGTGTGTGTGTGTGTGTGTGTGTGTGTGTGTGTTCATCGTTGTGACTTTCATGTGTAAATATAAGGCACAAATATATAATATTTCTGAATAATGTCTGTCCTTTGTTTTACAGGAGCACATCATCAAAACCATTCTGTCTTCAGCACGAGATGAACCGTCTGCTCCTGCCAGGTACTGGGGGGGGGGGGGGGTTTTGCCCACACCCACACACACACACACACTAACCATTTTCTCCTCAGAATGCTTTTGACTTGTTCTTAATTTGGTGAAATATTTTTTTGTTTTTTCGCTTCTTAAACATTTAAACATAAAATCTACCTCCTGTTCTCTGCTCCCTCTCTCTCTCCCTCTCTCTCTCCTGGGTGGTGTGTGTGGCCTTGTGCAGTCTGGGCATCTGGCTGTGTGAGGAGCTGGCTCACAGGACTCAACATCCACAGATTAAAGACGCTCTGAATGTCATCTGTGTCACCTTGAAGGTCAGTCAGGTTCTGACTCCAACAGCAGAACCAGGGTCCACTGAGGTCCACTAGGGTCCACTAGGGTCCACTGAGTCCACTGAGGTCCACTGAGGTCCACTAGGGTCCACTGAGGTCCACTAGGGTCCACTGAGTCCACTGAGGTCCACTGAGGTCCACTAAGGTCCACTGAGGTCCACTAGGGTCCACTGAGTCCACTGAGGTCCACTGAGGTCCACTAAGGTCCACTGAGGTCCACTAGGGTCCACTAGGGTCCACTGAGGTCCACTCTAGACGGTCATTAAGGTTACAGGAAGTTGTACTGTTGTAGTTTCTGTTGTAGTTTCTGTTGTAGTTTCTGTTGTAGTTTCTGTTGTACTTCTGTTGTACTTCTGGGTGTTCTGCAGTACTGGAATGGTGGTTGTAAACAGCCCAGTGTGATGGAGACGGTTGGTTGTTGGTTGTTGGTTGTTGGTTTGTTGGTTGTTGGTTGTTGGTTGTTGGTTGTTGGTGTTTGGACAAATAGTCATGGTCTCTGAGTCCAACAGACTGGGAGGTCTGTGGATGAAAACACCAGAACATGGTCCAACGTCTGCTGAGTCATCTTTAGCCAAGGAGCTGGACACACACACACACACACACACACACACACACACACACACACACGTGCTTTTTCACACCTTGGAATCCCTGATCCAGTGTGTTGGCAGCCACTGGTCTGTAAAGACATTGTCTCACACACACACACACACACACACACACACACACACTCCTGGGAGCAAACCCTCGACTGTCAATATGTTTGGTCCTCCTTCAGATAACTAATCCAGGGAGAGCTGCAGGCTCTCTGTCTCTCTCTCTCTCTTTCTCTCCCCCCCCCCACTCTCTCCCCCCCCCCACTCTCTCCCCCCCCCCACTCTCTCCCCCCCCCCACTCTCTCCCCCCCCCCACTCTCTCCCCCCCCCCACTCTCTCCCCCCCCCCACTCTCTCCCCCCCCCCACTCTCTCCCCCCCCCCACTCTCTCCCCCCCCCCACTCTCTCCCCCCCCCCACTCTCTCCCCCCCCCCTCCATATAGCCTTACCCTCTCAGTTCTGGTCCAGTCTCTCAGTTCTGGTCCAGTCTTGTGTTGACACGTGAATTTATATTTCTGTGAAGATTCATTTGTTTCCACACCTGATGTCACACACACACCTCATTCACACAGCGCTAGGCTAACGGTGCTAGGCTAACGGTGCTAGGCTAACAGTGTACCAGCTGCAGGTCCAGCTCAGAGGGTGTTAATGGTGTGTGTGTCCCCCCCCCCCCCCCCAACAAGAGTGTTGCTCTGGTGGCCTCAGACATCCTCCACCTCCTCATCAGCCACGTGGATTATCTTCAGACCTTCCCCCCCGACACTCCAAAGAAGATCGTTGAGGTACAAACAAACAAACAAACAAACATTACCTTGAAGTTGTTCAGTCGTAATAAACACTTTTTTTAACCTGTGAATAATCCTCAGATTCTGATCGCCACCATCACTCACCTGCTGCCGTCCACGGAGTCGTCTCCTCATGAACTGGACAAGAGGGTGACGTTCCTCACACACCCTTTGATCTGGACTCTTGTGTTGGTTTGAAGTACACTGAAGTACCGGTGTTGTGTTTCTGTACCAGCTGGTGGTCTCCCTGCTGCTGTGCCTCCTGGACTGGGTCATGGCTCTGCCCCCCCAGACTCTGCTGCAGCCCGTTCACACACGGAGCCCTCCGGAGAAAGACCACCCCGGAAAAACTCTGCTCAGCTGTATCTATAAGGCAAGTCAGAGCTCAGGTCTGCCCCCTGTCTGCAGAGTGACAGAGTGCGGGGGTCCAGTACCTGGGCAAACTAAGGCTTTCTAATGCGGCCGTGTGATCAAGACTGATGTCAGTGGATTGACTGTAGTTCCTGTTCACGCCACTAAGTGGCAGCAGATATTCCTGCACATTTTATTTAAGTTATTTCACACAGTTCTCTACATCCAGCAGTACTGAACTGACTGGGTCAGTTTGGACCGCGAGCCAGAGAGTTTCCACCAGTCAGAGACTGGTCCTCAGTTTGGACCGCGAGCCAGAGAGTTTGCCCACCCTGAGTTAGGCTGGTTTTTGTGGGCACAGTTTTTTCACACCTCTGAGGTAACGATGATATGTCACAGTCATCAAAGTTCATCAAAGTTCAACCTTTTCAAGTTCAGCACAGCTTTATTTTCCATGAGAGCTTTTTACGGTTCTCAAATATCCCATGGTGCCTGAACGCCCCTCGTTACAGAGACTGTAACTGTAGGGAATGGAACTCTGTGGAGGCGTGGAAAATGATCAGCCGTATTTGAGTCATTATTGATTATGGTCAAATATAATGAATGTGTGTGTGTGTGTGTGTGTGTGTGTGTGTCATCATCACATCATCTACTCTGACAGCCCATTCACAGATAACTCTGCTTCTTCTGGTTCTTTAAAACCCTCTTCCCAGGTCTTGCACGGTTGTGTGTATGGAGCCCAGTCTTTTAGCAGTCCAAAATATTTCCCACTGCAGCTGTCGGACCTGTTGAGTCAGGACTACGACCCCTTCCTGCCGCTGGAGAGCCTGAGAGAACCAGAGCCGCTGCACAGTCCAGACTCTGAACGCTCAGGCAAACTGCAGCCTGTCACTGAAGGTCTGGAAATACAAATATACATATATACATATATACATATATATATGTCAGGACACACATATATATATATATATATACAGTATATGTATGTGTCACTGAAGGTCTGGAAATACAAATATACATATATACATATATATATGTCAGGACACACATATATATATATGTATGTGTGTCACTGAAGGTCTGGAAATACAAATATACATATATACATATATATATGTCAGGACACACATATATATATATGTATGTGTGTCACTGAAGGTCTGGAAATACAAATATACATATATATATGTCAGGACACACATATATATATATATGTATGTGTGTCACTGAAGGTCTGGAAATACAAATATACATATATATAT